TGAATCTGGAAAAAATAAATCATTTTTGAAAAGTTGAAAAATTTGTAATTTTTGCTCAAAATAAGTTGGCTCTGAAAGGGATAAGTTGGTCCTGAAAGGGTTAAGTGCCTAATGGGGTTTTGTAGAGGAAAGAAAGCTGCATCCAACCATAGGATTAACCATCGCGGAAAGTTAAAGCGCATCATATAATTTAAAAACACTATACAGTGACCCTCTCCTCTGTGGACAAGTATCGGGCCTTTCAAAACTCTCCCATTTCTACTAAGACAATTTCAATAAAATGCTATACCAATTGTGGAAACCTATGCAGAAAAATGCGCTCTTTCACGCTGGCTATGTCAAAAAAATTTCGGAGCAGCGGCAGATTTGCCGTTCTATCCGGTGGTGTTCTCTTCTTTTTCGAAAAAATAATCCGGTCCGTAAAGGGTTAATAATTTGTATAATAATGTAAGCAATAAAAATCACCCGTCAAGCAAGCCACAGTGAAAAATGCTGACTTTGCAGTATCACAGTTCTCCCGTAGAAGGAAACGTCTTTATTGTGACGTGAGTCGAAAACGCTTTTTATCATTATGTTTTGCTGTTACGATTTTCTCTTTCGTTACCAGTGTTTCTAATCAGAATCTTTTGTTGCATGTAACCACACGCTTTGTTTTTCAGATCAAAGTGTGTACGTGCACACTTTGTTTTCCTTTTTTAAAGTGTACAAAGTGTATCGTTCAAACCTAAACAGTGTTTCTAATGAGATTCAGAGTCAGAATGTACTGATTTACTTTGTTTCGGATCTGACAGTGTACGCATACACTTTTTCAGTACAAAGTGCACTACAATGTCTCATTTAGAAACGATATATTCTTCACATAAACTGACAAAAATCTGTAAAAAAACTAAGTGTGCACTTTGTTTCAACAAGTATACTCTTTTATTAGAAATCCTGAACCTAAAGGGAAGAAAGCTAAGTCAATGGGAAATGCGGAGGATTTGGCAGATAGAAAAATAATCACAGCTCTCGTGTGTTTCAGAAGAAAAATAATCTAACTTTTCATGGACTGTTCACGATGGACATTGATGGGTAGGGATCGAAACTAAAAAAAATTGTTTACTGGGATCTCAATGGAGCCGACATTGAAATTTTTTTCTGTCAAGAAATGAGAAAATTTTTTTGAAAAAACGTGGATTTGGGACGGTTTTTTGGAAAAACGGGATTAAAGACTTTTGAAAGGTTTGGGACCGGAAAACAGCGGTCCCGCTAATGTCTAGTTAATTTTTATGTTTATATCATGATATATCACTGAAGCTGAAAATGATTCACTAGCAATTCGCTGAAAAAAAATAAAATGCACAGAGCAAAACCAAAGTGTACGTTATACACTGCTTTATTTTACAAAGTGTACCTATTTATTGACAACAAAACGTATGTACACTTTGCTCTGCTGTGTACACTTTGTCAGTAGAACCACGGGTTATGATATCACATTTCTATCGTTACTAACAACAAACTTCGCATATTATAAAAACTAGAGATTTCCATTTCGATGTCACATTCTCTTCAGTGAATGATATGGTTTTTGCGGTCGGTTATTTGTTTATAGAAACAATCAGTAGCTCTTTTTTTATTTATTTTAACGTACGTGCACGTATGATGATATTAAAAAAGTTTTTGTAAATTTTAGCTGTAGAGAATTGACACTCGCAAAAGATAAAAAAACACTTTATTTCATAATTACCGTAGTGTACACATAGTTCTCAACTTCGTTTAGAATGTATTGGGCGAATGCTATATACAGAAAGGCAGTCTCGAAGACTAGAGGGATTTATGGTATCAGTTTACTTTTTACCGCTTCTGTACAGTATCGAACAATTTAGTCGACATCTCAAGCTTGCTGTGGGGAAGTTTAAGATTAGACTAGTTTGTGGCCGGATAACTACTCACCTTGTCTGAGAAAGCTTTTCTGATGGAAACGTTTTGCTAATGGTATGTGTACACTCTTTTTTTTAATCAAATTGTATTCGTTTCGAGAAAATCGAGGTCCGTCATGTATCAGAGTTTTGAACATAGAAGTAGTGCTTTCTTTCCACGAGATTTTTCAAGGTATTAAGCTTACAGATAAACATAATCATAATGAGAAAAAAACCATACCTCTAAATCGGAAAAGTCAGCTTTCTTCTCATGTGACTGGTCATTGTTTCGCGGTAAATTTGTGATCACTTCTATGTACAATTTTGGTTTTTTGATTACTTATTCAATGATCTATCTACAACTGTTTATCTTTAAGTAGTTGCTGACTGTTCTGTTATTTCTTCTTCTTCCATGTACATATCCTCATGCAGCTCTACCTATTTAATCTTGAAGTGAATATATATACATTCATACTAGTATAAGTATATACTTATACTTGTTTCTAATTCTGTCTCTCTTATTTTCCCTCACCGTAGATATCTGTTTCTGTGTGTGTTCCCTTTGTTTATATTATAACAAACAAAAATGAGTAATTAGTAAACAGGCGAATATTATTTTTCCTAAATCAATCAGAATTCTCTAGAAAAAAAAAATTGTACACTTTGTTTCAAAGTTTAAAACATTTGAAGTGTACGCTTAGACGTTAGAAGTATATACCTATACTTATTTCTGATTCTGTCTCTCTTATTCTTCTTCACCGTAGATATCTGTTTCTGTGTGTGTTCCCTTTGTTTATGTTATAACAAACAAAAAAGAGTAATCAGTAAACAGACGAATATCATTTTTTCTAAATCAATCAGAATTCTGTGAAACAAAACCAAATTGTAGAGTTGAATTTAAAATATTTGAAGTGCACACTTAGACTTTAGAAGCGTTGATCTGAGATGGACGCATAAAAGAAATGTACGACAACTACAAAAAAAAGTTAGTTCCTCTTCTTTGCCCGTATTTGAACTTGGTAAAGATTTAGTTGCACCATTGCAAGACTATGTGGCCACCACTTTAGGACCATGTGACACCAGTTTAGTGCGATGTGACACACCATTTAGTTACATAATTAAATATTCAATATTTGCATGCGAAACGATCTGCTGCAGCATGTCATTCGTTTACCTTTATGGAAGACCTATCACGTCACTTATTGGCCGCCAGAGGCATTCTTATGACCGGACTAATCAGGTATCCTAGTGCATTTTTCACATCGGCACGGCTATCAGTATTCAAAACTCGGATAGGTTTTCCTCAGTCATTTGATAAGCCTATCCCAAACTTGCCAAATGAATATCTCAATATTCCCTGCAGATCTGCGCAAGACGACCTGTTGTACTTGCATGCCACAGATAGGCATGTTTCGTGTCCAAAGACTGGAGCTTGAGTGACTCGGACTCGGACCCTTTAGAAGTCGAACTCTTTCGGACTCGATTTTTGTTGAATAGTACTAATTTAGTTTCAGATCAGTAATCTTACCTCTTCTTTAGCATAAAAAATAACTTTTATCAGTGAGAAAGGACTGTTTTTCGAAAAAACTTTCGAAAGTCAAATTCTCATGCTTTCTTTCGTAGGGTCATCACCTACTGTAAGAATAGTGGTTCTACAAACTTACTTTTTAATGTATTGACTAGCTAAGAATTTTCTTAAGAAAGCAATTTTTTTTGCTTAGTCATGAACTAAACAAAAAACGTGTATTTTAGACTGTAGAAATCATAGCACAAAATGAGATACGAAAATTGAAATGCGAATCAACTCTTGTAGATCACTTTCACTGGATCCGGTGGCCAGTATCAAAACTTAGAAATTAGAACTAGGATGTGAAAATTTTGTCGTGTGGATACGTTTAACATAAAACTGTCTGAATGAATTCAAAACTTCTCGATATATTTTTTTCTCAGTCGCCACTTTTAAGTATCATAAGAAAACTTAGTGTACGAGCATTATTACTGTGTCTCTGTATTATATTTAAGTATGTGTACGAAATATTTATGATCTGTCTATGATACCTCATTAGTTAATATATGAATTTTCTTCATTCCGCTGGTAATAGAATGACAACATAATTTAATATAGAAAATGAGGTTATCGTTTTTTAATAAGATCTTTTTGTTTCATTTTTATCAACATACCTGTTATATACTTTATATGAAATTCAATTAAAACTAGAGTAACTTTTTGTCTTTTTTTTAAATATCTTATTCAAAAATATATTAAATTTGTTGTAGATAATTGTAGTCATGAAAAAATTGTATAATTAAAAATATCATAAGTTATAGATGTCATTTTTTATTGACATTAATCTTCTGTTGCTAATTACAAAAAAGAAAGAAAAGAATGCAAAAAAATTAAAAGATGCAAAAATGGTTTGAAGAATCGTGACTTCTAAGCAAAATATACTTTTGAAAGAGAACTCTCTATTTCTCTCTTTCTACTATCTACATCCTGTTTGTTTATTCTCTAACTGGAAAATAATTTTTTACCGTTTTATCCAATCAAAATATATTCTTTTATACTTCACTGCTAATGTCATCATTAAATTTTTGTGAAACTCCTCTGATTCTATGAGTTTTATTGAGACGTATTACATTGTAGCTCTATTTTAACTGTCCTGTCGAAATTTATAATTTATTTAGAAAAGCAATCAATCATAAATGTTTATAAAAGTAATGAGAGAGGATGTGTTGGCAATGTAAAGATAAGAATGTTTCCTTTTTTCTATACGTAGATCACTTAGCAAAGAAAAAGGATGAGTTTATTATTGACTAATTTTCTTTTTTCATCACTTTTCAAAAGTCACTAATTTCTTTTCTTTGATTATTTTAGAAAACACAATAATGAATCGTAAACGGACAACGAGTCCGTCGGCGGATCAAAATAATAATCAAATTGTTAAAAAACAAAAAACAAATCAAATATCAGCCTTTGCATCTTCTCCAACATGTGCGTCATCCTCTTTGTCCACAATAACTATAACACGATCACAATTAACATTAAAACCGTACACCATTGGTCAATTAAAAAGTGTGACATTAATTAATTTCATGAATCATAGTAACTTTAAAATAAAATTTGATTCAACACATCTACAAATTGTTACTGGAAAGAATGGTTCTGGTAAATTTTCATTTTTTTTGAATGTATTTTTCTTTATTGTAATACACTTTCTTGCTTGTTTAGGTAAATCGGCAATAGCCAATGGTATTTGTTTAGCTCTAGGAGCGCGTGCAAATACAACTGGACGTACACAAAATGCACAATCATTTGTCAAAAAAAATAGCAGGTATGCTGTAATGAACGAATTATATTTGAAAATATCAATAATATCTGTTCAAAGTAGTCAAAAGAAGAACAAAAATTTATTTATTTGATAATATAAAAGTGTTCAACCTAGACTAGAATTATCATCAACTGAGACAACATGATTTGATGACTACGGTGTTCGACACGCACTTCGAAGATACTGTGTTTGAGCCTCAGCTCCGTCTTACTTTGAACAAATTACTCGTGTTCATGTGCTTGGTTAATCCGTCCGATAGTGCGTTCAGTAGTTTGTATAGTTTCCATGATTCGTCAGAAAACTAGTACTTGATTCGTGAGTGTGTAAGGAAAGCTAAAAAGCTCGTTCTGGCTAGAGCAGTAATTAATGACTAGTAAGGATATGTGAAAAAATACTACTGATAACATCGAGTCGATCGCACAACTTCAATGGTTGTACAGAATATAGACACAGAACAGTGAATTTAGTTTTGCAGTTTGTGCAAAGCTAAGTTCATGTGTTCGAATCTCTATTCGTACAAAATTGATTTTGTGTTTTTAGATAGTTTTAGTTTAGAATACTATAATGGAATATTTTTCCGGTTGTATTCTGACAGAATAAAGCTTATATCAAGGATATGTGTGACCAACTTAGAAGCTGATTAGCAGCTGTAGAGAAGACAGCAAGTTATTGCGAATTATTTTTCCTATCATTAGATTCAATAAAATAATTATTGAAAATTTAAATTAATTACTATTATTTTACAATTAATCGCTATCCCTATTATTAAGTATAAAAATAATCTTCAACAAATTTTGATTAATCGATGTTTTTTGCTGAAGTTATAATTAACTGTCAGGCTATAAGCACGATTAATCGGCTGATTTTTTTCAATTTGCTGAGATTTTTCTTCAATTTTCATTATATAGAAACATATACCGGACAGCCTAGAATAAATGATACTTTCAGTATTTTGTAAATAACTTAGCCATTTCAAACCTATTCGACCTGTGCTTTTTTTCAGTGAATTCTCCATTCAGTTTACCACAAACCCACCGGTAAACAGCTCTTGTGAAATGAAAAAAGACGAGATTACACGGGAAATACAAAAAGCGAAAAATTTGACAATTCTCAAGCACAAAATTCATTTTTTTGCATTTTTCTGCAACCTCATAACGCGATATAAAAAATTAAGTCCGTCGTCTTGAAGAGCGTTAAATTCTGAATCGATTACATGTCCTCTAAAATTTTTATGTAAAAATCGGCCTGATACAGAGATAATTACTTTTTTGAACTTTTGCAGAAAATCTAGTTTTAGTTCCTTGATTTTGTCAGTTTCACCAAAACGTCTGCCATTCAGTGGAAAAATGTTGTTTTTGGACTTTTTTTTTATTTAAAAGCTAGCAGCGTTTACTACGGCCTACTTCTCATGACGCAAAATTTTTTGTCTGTTCTATTTACACGGGAACATAAATTAGAACAATTTAACGATGTTATCCCAAAATGTCATTTTTTGTACCTGAAGTTTTTGTTGCAGAAATATTTTTTATAGTGCATCAGAAAGAGCACACTTTTAGTCTATTGCAAAACGTCTCTCTGACATTTTGACACCGAGGTTTAATGGCAAAAACAGGACCAGATACCTTCATTAGTTTGTGCTTGAGAATTGTCAAATTTTTCGCTTTTTGTATTTCCCGTACAACTCCGTCTTTTTTCATTCCACAAAAGCTGTTGACCGATGGATTTGTAGTAAATTGAATGGCGAATTCACTGAAAAAAACCGCAAATCGAACGGGTTTGAAATGACTAAGTTATTTACAAAATACTAAAGGTATCATTTATTCTGGATCACCCGGCACTTTTATACACTGCAAGAGCGAGAAACACAAATGCATGCCTATTTGCACCAGTTTTTTTTTTTTCTCTTGCTTATAATATATCAAACTTGTTTTCTCACAAAACTATATGAAAAAAGAGAGGAAGTTATCCAGAAAAGACTGTTTATTTGACTATTCGCACGCCATAATCAGTCTTATCATGTGCTGCATGTAGATTCCTCATTGTGATGACTGTTTCTTTTATCTCTCTTTTTGACATTTGTATTTCTGTCCATAATCAGGAATATGGGAGGCTCATGTAATCCTTTTTGAAAGAAGTAGGATAAACGTAATCTCAAAAGAAACAAAGAGTGTAAAAATTTTCAAAGAGTGGAAGCTTTTTTCATAATTCAGAATTTTATTCTCTCTTTATTTTCTCCTATCGACGACAGTAAAAAGATGCTTTCTTGCTTAGACGGCCGTTAATCACTGTTAATTAGCCTTTTTCTTGTTTGCAGCTAAACTGCTGTGACATCAAATGTTTTATGGACGTTTTCTTATCGATTTGATGTCTGAAAACTCTTAGGCAAACTCTTTGTTCAAAAGAACCAATCAAGAGAGAATCGGTCACAAATTTAAGCACAGAATAACTAGAACTATCACACCTCCACCCATAATCAGTGATTTATCAGACTGAACGGGATTACCTTTTGGTGTGAAGGATATGATTGTCTGTTGAAAATTTACCGTTTAGTTCATCATGGTGTTGCTCCATTCTTTGCATCTCTCTCATCTTCATTTGTCCCCTACCCTTGAACATTTATTACAATTAACTCTATAAATCATATCTGCACATCCACATCTCTGTAATTGTTGATAACGATTATTGTAATGTTAGACGTCTTCTAAAATCAAATGTGACTTCCATTGTTGGATATAAACTCTTTTCAAGAGCTTTTTCAATCATCATTTTCGTTGCATCATCGTGATACGTAACAGACAATAAAACACTGCAATGTGATGGTCCCAGCGAGGGAAGGATCGCACAGTGTACATTTTCTACAGAGCAGGCGGACATGTAATTTTATTGTCAGGAATCGTCTCTTTTCGCATAAAAATGACTTCCAAGCATCCCGAAAACTCATATCAATCAAAAACAAACAAATTCTCAAAAAAATGTTTTTTCAACCCAAAACACCTTTGCCCAAAAATTTCGTTGAAAAGTTTTTCCCTCTAACATTAGACATTTCATACACTATTCGATGCAGTTTAGTTCACTGATTTCAAATATGACCTTGTTTTTGAATAAAAGTGCTCTTGAGCCCAGAAAAATGAAAAATATCTGAAAACCAAGGTTTTTTGAAAAACTTACTGTACGGTCAAGGAACATTTATGCTATTTGTGGTGATAGAGGGAATATAAAAGAACATTCTGGGAAAGTTTGGCTGAATTCCAAAGTGGAATGTGAAGGTGGCGCACATTTTACCAAAATGGCCGTTCGGAAAATCACTTTGGAAAAATTATTATTATTTTTTCTCAGAAAGCACCAGTGTTAATTAAACACTTTTCTGATTAACCAATAGCGAACATCATGCAGATTTATAATATATACTGTTTCCGGTTGTCACTTCACTGGTTTTTATAAACATTTGAGTTTTCTGTAGATGTCATGATTTTCCAGCTAATTTTTCGACAGCTCTTACAAGCTACATAAGGTATGAAAGAAAATTTTTCATGCCATGAAATAAAGTATCTTTTGACTATTTATTGCTGCTTGGAACTAATGATAACTGCAGCCAGGATTGAAAAGTTGTATGCTATTAAATAAAATAATAAATTTAATCGAATTCTTTTGTACAGTTATTATTTACGTTTGTCAACGTCTTTTCATCAAATGATAATAGCAGTTGGAATTTCTTAATTTTTTCTGTTTTAGTTATGCTGAGATTACTCTAGTGTTGGCAAATGAGGGTCCCGAAGCTTATTTACCATCTGTGTATGGAAATGAAATTCACATAACACGAAAAATCGGCATCCGACAATCGTTAAACTCTTATAGGATTTGTTCTTCATCCAGTAAGTAAATATATTCTTTTGTAATAAAACATCCGATCACATATTTTTTTTGTTTGTAACTATTATCTTCAAACATTTTCAACAGTGAATTTTATCAAATTATTCATTTAGTTCGTTAAGTTCTTTTACTATTTGTGCCTGATTAGACATAGCCTAGAATCTGTCCTTAAGCGATTATTCATAGAAACTACCGAATAATATATAAATTCTACTCATTGTTAAGTTTTTGAATTTTTTTTCTTTTGATCATAAAAATTTTCAAAGTTATTCTTAGATTCTTCTCTGCTCAATGTAAATTAACTATTATCTTTTTATCTTAATCACTTTTTATTCTTTTCATAAGTTTTTTTTATGTTCTTTTAGAACAATTAAAATCAACGAAAAAAGAAACAATTTCCGATATTCTACAAGCTTATGGGATTTCACCTGAAAATCCACTATGTGTTCTACATCAAGAAATTGCCAAGAAATTTTTACAAGGAACTGATCATTATGCAAAATACAATGTATGTCATCAATAAATAAATTTCACATGTGTTTTCATGTAGTTTAGCTTTTTGTTATATTTTATAGTTTTATATGAAAGCATCACAGTTGGAAAACATGAGAATACATTATGAAGATAGTTTAAGATCGGTTGATTCCGTGAGAAATCGACTGGATGAAATGAAGATGGTAAGTTAAAGATTACTAAATAACTGTATAAATAGGAAATTATTTTATTTATTTTTTAAAGAAAGTAGATGAAATACGTCGAGAAGCAGAACCATCACGTCGTCAAGTTGAAATCATGCAAAAATATCAAGAAAATGAAAAGAAACAAAGTAAATTAGAAAATGAATTGAAAATTGCTGAATTGAATGAATGTGAACAAGTAAGTAATAGTTGTTATAACCTTTATTTGTAAAATATCGGTAGAGAACAAAACTGAGGCCAGGTTCCATTACGATGTTCAAGAAAAAACACTAGAAGGAGAAAATAGAAACTAAGATTTCTCTAAACACGCTAGAAAGTAAAACATAAAAATGTCAGGAATCAAGGTGTGTATCAATGTCTTCTATTAGACGAAAAATGTTTATTAGAGATTCGTCACTGATGAGAGATGCCAAACGTTGATTTCTAGCAAAAATTTTTAATTCAACTTGTCGATTAAATTATATCTATGATGTTTATTTAGACATTAGCAAAATTTCAACAGAAACTAGATTTACTTCAACAAAAAAAACGACAGACTGAAGAACTTTTGAAAAAAAAAACAGTATGTTATTCTCTCTTTCACTTTTGCGAATGAAATTTTATTTAATCAATTCTTTTATATATTCAGGATGAAATATTAGATTATGAGAATCGTTATCAGAGTATTGAACAAATAAAAAATGATTTAGAACTCGATCTTAATCATGATTCAAAGGGTTTAAAATCATTTCTATCAGATAAAGAACGTAAAATAAAAGCTTTAAAATCCGAAATTAATAAAAAATCTAAATTAGCCGAACTATATTCTGAACAATGTGAAGAATTAGAACAAAAACGTCGACAAACACAACAAGATATTCTTGAATATAATAAAACAGCACAAAAGGAGATGACACTTGAACTACAAAAACGTCAGATTATTGATCAATTAAAATCTTCTAATGATGAATATGAAAAAATGGATCGAGAAATACTTGAAGAAGGCCAAGAATCAGTTAAACTTCAAGATATTATTAAAACTAAACAAGACTCATTAAATGATGTAATATTAAAGAAAGATGAACGAAAACAACAAATTCAAAAATATCAAAGTGCCAAAGATAATCATTTAAAATTATTTGGTATTTGGATTCCGGATTGTTTAAATGAAATTGAAAGATATGCTTCAGAGAAACGTTTTCATAAAACACCAATTGGACCAATAGGTATGTTTTTCGAAGTTGATAATATTATTGTACTGTTAAAATAGTACAATTTTTGACAATTGCTCGTTTAACATGTGTCAGTAATTCTGATAAAAATAGTACCGTTCGAATGAGGTAAATGGTCCTAAGGGTTTCTCCTCTTAGACTTGATGAAACAATTTTGCATTTCTCGCATATACTCATCAATGTTAGACCTATAATCGTTGCAAAGATAGCTTTTCTATCTTTAACTATTAACAAGTTAGAAGCAAAATATCTATATCTGACCGCTATTTTGTTGGTGATTTTCTTGTGGTTCACATGAGTCACGTTTTGTACGTGTTATTTTTCTCTGTTATTTTGTGTGGAATAATATTTTTTTCTCTCTTTTTTTCTAGGATTTTCTTTGATCTTCATTTTTCTTATGCCAAAAGTGGACTAAACATGTAGACTAGATAACAGTGAAAACTCGACGCTTCTATCACTTTTTGCTACCGTGTAATTCACGCTTTACTAACGCTAGGCAAGGTTTGCTCAACAATTTGTCCCGTAACCATCCACTACATCATGCCTCAATCAAATATGATAGAAAGTTTCTTTTTCACCATACGTATAGTCTAGCTACACGATGATCCTGTAAAAATGATAACGACTAAAATTGCTTTATAAGGAAGAAAAACTAGATAATACTAGGAAATGTCCCGTAACCGTTTTGTTTTGTAATTTTAACGTAACACGCGTGAACAAAGCCAAATTTTTAGTATAAGGGTTTTACAACATGGAGAATTTAAGGATGTGCATATACAGTGTTCAACTAGGTGAAAAACGTTTTTATGGAAATCCGAGGATTTCAGAAAACCAGCAATATTGGAAGTTTTGTGAAACTATTTTCGAGTTTAATCTATAATTATCTACTTTTATGGTATTCCAGTTATTTGTACATGAAAATCAATCGAGAAGATCTTATCTCCTTCCATTCAAAATCCACGATTTTTTGAAAATCCAAGACACAAAGAAGTGCCAGTTTGCAAACTGACTTTGTCTGGTACTACTAGGCACTCACTATCGACATATAATATTCAGCTACCCAAGCGTTTGCTTATTGGTCAACTTTTTGAAAATAAACGGTACTACTTTTATCAGAAACACTCATTTGTTTGAATGATGATATAAAAAGTTTTAATCAGTTAAAACAGCCTTACTGTTGATTCAATAGTATTTAGTTTAGGGGGATAAAGGGTTAACTACGAAACTATTAATATTTGATGTTTTTTTCACCCATTTTTGAAGTTACATTTTTTGTTTTCTTTTCATCGTCAAGGTCGATATGTTCGATGTCCAGATCCAAAATGGGCTCATGCTGTTGAACGTTGTCTTGATATGTTGATGATGTCTTTTATTTGTTGTGATAATCACGATGAACAACTTCTAATAAATATTCTTTCAAAATATGCTCGAGATCGTCCTCAAATAATAACCATGCCATATCAAAATAAAATATACGACATATCATTATCATTGAATCGAATAAAAAATGCTGGTCTCAAAAGCGTTTACACTGTATTAGAAATTGATGATATAACAGTGGCATGGTAAATTTGAAAGAGAAAAAAAGAATTTTAATTCTATAATTGACTTGTTTTTTGTTTATTTGTAGTGCTTTAATCGATCAGGCATCAATTGAATCTTGTTTATTATTAGAAGATCTAAGTGAAGCAAGAAAAATTAAAGATTCATCCTTGTTTAGAAAAATGGAAAAAAATATCAAATTTATTCGAACTGGTATGACGCCAGATGGATCACAGATCATGTTTGGACAACCATTTCGAATTTATACATCAGCACATCGTTCACTTAAATATTTTTCACATAAAGATCGTTATCCATTGACAATTGAAGAAATAAAAAATGATATGAAAAATGATGATCAAATAATTAATGATATACAGCAGACAATAAATTTTACTAAAGATAAATTAAATAATTTATGTAAAATATCAGATGAAAAACAACGAAAAATAAAAATTTTGCAAAAAGAAATTCAAACTTTAATAAAAGTAAGATTTTCTAACAAGTTTAAATTTCTATCATACTATTTTAAATAAGATTCTACAGATAATTTGTGAAAATTTTTCTCATTGACTATTTTTTATGAATATGGTAATAGAGACATACTACTCAAAGATTATAAATTTGTCGAAAATATCTGAGAATCTCTATTATTGATAATAAATGTTTTATGACTATTCGAGATCAATCGATCGTATCACAAATTTAATATATTTGCTATTATATTTTAACAAATTATTTTTGTCTAGGAAAAAGATGTTCTTAATTCGACGTTGCCTGTTGTTGTTGATATATCCGTTGAAGAATTAGAACAAACTCAAAATGATTTAGATCTTGCTTTAAATGCGAAACGAAATATATTTCAAGAGACTACTGAAGATTTGAGTACGATAAATATTGAGTTAAATGATAATGAACTACATGCCGATAATATTGCGAAAAAAATTTGTTCAAAAGAGAAAGAATTAATTGATATTCATTTAAGACAACAAGATATTATGCAAGATAAACATAATTTAGTGAATGAAGAAAAACAATTAGAGAAAAAAGTCAATGATTATAATATGAAAATACATCATGAAAATGAGACAAAAGCAAAATTAATTGAAACAAAAAAAGTATATTAATACAGCTAAATCTATGATTTAATTATGCAAAGTTATTTTTTTTATATATTTTTAGCATTTAATCATGACGAGTAATCGACGAACGAATGAAAATGTACGTTCATCAAAATTAATTCATAAAGACTTAGAAGAAATTAAGCAATTTCAAAAGATGCATCATTCGATGTAAGTAAATCTTTAGAAAGTCTAAGAAAATATATGAATTTACAGTATTTATTGTTTGATAGCAATAATAATTATTTCTATCTCTTTCGTTCTTCATTTTCGATAATAATCTTGTCCGTATGACTAACGATGAGATTACTGAGTATATTCATATCTATCAAATGTGACCATGACCAGTTAGACCTTCTGAGATTCGTAACAAAAATTTTTTCTAGTTCTCATTTACGGTTCGAAGCTAGATCGATTGCATATTCTAAAGATTTATAATTATCGAATGTTTCGATTTAAATCTTATAGGTCTGATTATGCAACAAGAAAGAAAATTGCCAATGAATACGCGCAAAAACGTGATTGTAAAAAAGATTACATTCAAAAATATCAAAAAAACGTTTTAATGCTGAAAGTAAGTCTCTTTTCTTTCTTTTTTCTTGTATCATCATCTATAAAAAGAGGATTATTGATACATTCATTGTGGTATTCTAGCAACTCGAAGAGTTTGTCACAAAACGAAAGAAGGGTTTTGCTGAAATAGCTGGCATTCATGAACACATGGTTCGTGCCCGATATCGACATTTTATGCAACAGAACAATTTTGAAGGTTCAGATATTATTATTAATCATAAAGAAGAAAAATTGACTATTAAAGTAAAATATATCGTTATCTATATTATTTTATGTATAAACTATAGTATTCAATATCTTTTATTTTACTTAGATGGGAAAACATACAGATTTGAGATCATTATCGGGTGGTGAAAGATCTTTATCAACATTTTGTTTTCTACTATCATTATGGACAACAATTTATCAGCCGTTTCGTGTTATGGATGAATTTGATATTTACATGGTAAGTGAGTTATTAACAATAAACAAACATTTTTCATGTTAATTATTAAATGTGACCGAGTTAAACTTAGTCGATTTGTAAACATATCATTTGATTTTCTTTCAGTCATATACTTTTTAATATATATCTAATAATGATTTTAAATTTATTATCTATAGGACAATGAAAAACGCAATAAAACTATTCGAATGTTACATGAGAATACTAAATATGATTTATCACAACATATCATATTTACTCCATTAAACGTTGATAATGATTTTTTAAGATCTGTCAATGTTAATGTACAAGGAATGCCCGATCCAAAACGTTGTGCAATAGTGATTGACTGAGAAATTTCTTTTCTTCTAAATTATTTTAATTTTATATTGTTAATAGACTTGCCTCTGTAGTATTATGTTTCTTTTCTCTAGAAATCATTATGATTTTTAGAATAAAACTAGTCAGTTCGGCGCATGTTATCCAACCTCTTTATCTGTGTTTTACTCTATTAATTTGTTTTTTGTTTTTTTATCTATTTTGTATTAGTGTAGTACAGCTGTAAATAATATAGTCGTTTCTTTTTATCGAGTGATCATAAATCAAAGAAGATAGTTGAAAGTTTATTACTTTTGCGAATACTTTGTGGATCATTCCGTCTAACTCGACTGAAAACATGATTTTATAACTTTTTATTCTATTATCTTGTCATTATATCTTTCAAATGAAAAGAATACCTGAATCTCGCGAAGAAAAGTAGGACTTCATAAAGTGAGACGTCCTTTCTAAGATGCGTAATTAGGAGGAGATATGGTGAAAATATTCAACACTGTTCTTGAAAAATTTTCTTTTTTAAGCAATGTATCTTTACATCTTGTTGATATACCTCTTTAGGTAAGAAAGAGCTCTGTGACGTCTCGTTTTATAAAGTCATACTTTTCTTCGCAAAATGAGATCCAGATATCTTCTCGTTTGAAATATATAAAGACAAGACACTAGAGAAAAAAAGTCATTTGAATCACATTTTTAGCCAAGTTACGTGAAATGATATTTGTCTAATGCAAACTCATCTTTTCTTTTTCTACACAACTCTAAGTACTATAAATTCTGTCTTTTTGTTATTCATTAATTATTAGCTCGAGATCTTCACAAAAAACTTACCATCAATTTTTTACAACTTGTATTTTCGATTTTGTTTTGTGCGAATTTGTTGTTGATGTCTTTGTTGTTGTTCTTTTATTGCATAATTGAAACAAAACAAAACAAAACTAAGTTAATTTAGAAAAAAAACTGATTGCATATATGACACAACGAAATTGATTTCTTTCAATAAATAGCTTATTAAAAAAATTAATTTCTCTTATCGCATTTAAACATTCTATTAAGAAGAAATTGTGTTGTGATACGTCTGGCTTAGAAGATTATTTCTTTTGCTCAGGTTTCGTTCTTATTCATTTCGATACAAATTTTTGTTTTTGATAGTTTTGTAGTTTTCATAATGTCGTCGTTTAACGATACAACTTATTTACCTTTATTGGAATTGTTCTCATATTTCGAATAAGTATTATTCATTTTATACCTATTTTACAATCTTTATTTATCCTTAAATAAATTAATCAAAGAAAAATTATCTTCATTAACCTATTTTTCTGTACGTTTGGAATTTGATTTTATCCTATTACACGATTAATAACTATAATTCATCAAGCATTTAATTAACATAACATTACTATTGACAAAATCCAATGTAAGGTATTTCTTAATCAAATCGAATAAAAATTTTACATTCATCATTTTAACTTAAAATATTTATCATTTTGTATTAGAACGATCATAAATGTCGAAAATAATATGGCTATTAAATGGTAGTCGTTTGCACATAACATTGGTCCATGTGAAAAACTTAACCTTTATTTGTCAATAAAATAATATAGAAAAATTGACGGGAGGAATTTATTACATCATTTCGGACTGTTTATCGGTTAAAATATAATCTTTAATGCTCCACTGTCTTATTCGAAATAGAAAACAAATATGCTTTGAATGATGCGATATCATTTTATAAATAATTTTCAACCTTTTTATTCTTGAGACATTTCTGTTATTTAAATACAGGTGACATTTTTTATATATCTTCCAGAATTAAAGATCACGTACATAGAACATAAAAAGAAAAAAAATCGGTTTTATAAGTAGGTCAGTTGGCAAGCAGGTATAATTCAAAATGTTCATGCTAATCAGTATTGCACAAGAACTCAACTTCAGAGGTTAACAAAATTCATTCACTAGAAATTTGCGTAACAGATCGTTGCCCATAAAGAAAACTTCTTGTCTCCAGCATCACATTACAGTTCATTCCACTATTACTCAAATAAAAGCTTAATTTGAACAAACAAAAAAAGATCATGTGAAAAATTTGGAAAAGATTAGAAATTTTTTTCGACTGTGTTAAAAGTTATAGCCTTTTGTCCGCTCTTATTAAGAATTTGATATAAATTAATACTGAAAAACAGAAGATCTTTCAAAGAAGTGGAACGAAAGTAAGCTGCAATAGATAACACCATCTACAGAAGCCACAGCCGAGACAGAAAACATTAAAATGGATCTTTCAGCGACTAATGAAAAATTTAGGCATCACAGATAAACAGAGACTTGTTTCACGAAAAAACTTAAGTTCAGAAACCTAAGTCATAAAAATGACTTAAGCCGAAATTAAGTTCGGCTTCAGTCACACACATTTAAGTTTCTTAAGTTTTTTCGTGACACAAGCCCCAGAACAATCAATTGTAATATGATATACATACTAAGTAAAGCGAGAGGATGAGGAAATCTAAGGTTACTGTTCGGTTTTGATAGTATGTAAGGACAGTTTACTATCGATGTAGGAAAAAGAGATAAAATATTCTCTTTTTGCCACTAGTGTTACAAACATTAGCTGTGCCGGGTGTCTTGTCTACATTAGTCATTAATTTCTTTTCCATTTTCTGGGATGTTGCTGAAAAATATTATCAAGTTTTTAATCGTTTGATGTGAACGTTACATTGTAACTCGTCATCGTATGTACGTCACTTATTAATGAAAGAACCAATGATCCCTCTTGTTCTGTCTGTGACTTTTTAGCGTAATTTCATTCAGCTAAGACACTAGAGGCACAGGAGCATTAGCTATGTACTGTAAAGCAAGAGGTTATTCTGTTTCTTCGGATGACTGAATAGTTTAACTTATGTGTTGTGAATATAGACAATAGAAGATAAGAGGCAAGAATAAGAAAGATGTATGATGAGGCGATAGTCTTTTGTACGCAGGCTACTGAAAGGGTATTATTGTAGATGTCTACGTCTTTTTATTTGATTTGTCTTTTTGCTCAGTAGCAGTGCTCATCATCATCAGCATCTCGCTTTTTTTTATCTGTTTCTATATCTGTTTATTTGTTTGGCGGGATCATCGTGTTACAGGTCGGGGACCTTTAGTGATCTTTTACTTTACGTGAATATACTCAATGAGTATATTGAATGAATGATTGAGTATTACTGATCCATTCATTTATACATACTCGGTCCAACATCAATCAAGTTTTGTCTTAAGAAGCGATCTCCTACTGCTATCGACCTCTATCTAATCCTTTTCATGCGTGAAACTTTTCTTTATACGGTCTTTTCCTTGTTGTGTTGACTATTTTCAAAAAATCGTTGATCTATTAAGGATTTCTATAAAACCGCTGCTTATTCGTCGATATTATTTGGAAATAAAGTTAGCAGTTTCAAAAATCGCATCAGTCGAAGTTCATAAGTACATTGTTTTTTTAATACGATTATGTTCTGCTTGTTGATTTAAGTATCCTCCAGACTGTCCTCACGTAGTATCGGTCGATAAAAAAAGACTATTCGAACTAAAATGTCATCGATGCATTACCGCATCTACCGATATGGAATAAATAAAAGTTCAAACTGAATAAACGGGAAAAAAACCACCAATACTGAAATGTAAACCAATGCGGTTTGCTGATTCCGAATTTTGATGAGACATAGATTTATAGAGATTATATGTTTGACGCTGATCACGAATCTGATATTCGTTTTTGTCCATATAGCTTTCTAGTTCCGTAATTTAAAAAAGTGTCTCTGGAAACCTGATCTATATTTTCAGATGAGGAGATTTTGATCTGGTAGGGTTATAGAGAAGGTTGAGTTATCTGTGTGGAAAGTTTTGGAAACGTACGAAGAGGTCTTCACTAAGTTATAAATATTCCAGTTTTCTGTACAGCTAAAATAAGCCTGATTAAGTTATTTCTACCGATGAAAAAATTATAAATCGGTTGCGTATTTCTCGTATGATTATTTTAATCAGTGAGAATATGTTGCTCTTACTTTTTTGTCTATTAGTTTTAGTATGCATACTTCTAATGTAATTTTTCTTAATTCTTTTTAGTTAGTTATTTAGTATGCTAACATTCACAAGACTTCATCATTGTTCCCGTTTATTATTATTGAACAATCAAATTTCTCGTTTATTCAGCGTATCGTCATTAGTTTTTCAAAATAAATCAGCATCGGATTTCGAGCGTTATTATACACAAAAACATGAATGGTTACAAAGAACTGATAAAAAATTAAATGAAGTTCGTATTGGTATAAGTGATTATGCTCAACAAGCACTCGGCGAAGTTGTCTATTGTGAACTGCCAACAGTTGGTACAAAATATAAGAAGAGTGATTCATTTGCCACGTTGGAAAGTGTAAAAGCTGTATCCGATTGTTATATGCCAGTTGATGGCGAAATAATTGAAACAAATGAAAAATTAAAAGAAGAAGCGGGTTTAATTAATAAATCGCCATATGAACACGGTTGGTTAGTACGAGCAAAAGTAGAAGAAAAAATCATACAAGACATTGAAAAAAGTTTAATGAATGAGAAGAAATATCAACAATTTATCAAAGGAGATTTGGATGATACAAAAGCAACATGAAGAAAAAACATTTGTGCATTTTTCTTTAGTAACTTCTTCAGCTCAATTTTTCAAGAAAACACACTACGATTTTTATTTGTAGTCATCTTTTTAGAAAATGATAGTTGTTCTGTATCGATTGATTTAGATTAATTTACTTTTTTTAAACACGTATGATTAATTGGCAATATTAGTCAGAAGAAGGATAGTTGAGATCGATTTTCATTTTCGATCAGGTTCAACTTTTTTAGTATAGATATTTTTAGAATGTTGTTCTTAGTATTGATTTACCATTGACTTCTTCAGATTTGTCTGAGAAAATTGTCTACATGTTTGTTGAGAGGCGACATAGTCAAATGTATTGAGTTTTCAAAATATTCATAATTTCTAACTGACTGTACTAAGTCTAGACTGAGTCAAAGACAGCCAATAATAGTTTGTAGTAGTTACATGTAATGAGTAATCTAAATCGGACAAAAGCAGAACTAGAGATGTTTATCGGTGAATCTAATTGTTTTAAAGCGATATCAACTAGGTTTGTATCGACTGTCATGCTTGAAAGAATGTTCAACATAAAATTTTTCGATTAACTTTGATCTGTCATGTATATCGAAATATATATCAAAAAGAGGTGAAGAAAGAAAAAAGGCATGATCCCAAAACACTGGTCAGATCAGAAATAACTAGAAACGAAGTGTACTTTTACAATCTGTAATATAGGCGAATTATTTAGGAAGTAACGAATATTTAAGACGTTGCTTTTTATTTGAAAAAGGATAAAACAAGGGAAAAGACAGATTTTTCGAAATGTGTGAATACGGTTATACTTGCTTGTATATTGATCGTATAGCTTTCCTAGGTTGTTCGTAACTGCATTGTGTTTCAGTGATAAACGATTTTTAGAGCATAGAATTGGTTGTTATGGTAGCTTTTGCACAACAATTTCAGCAATATTTGTACCAAAAAAGTTGAATTCGACAGGGAATAAAAATTGATTTCAACCGTCCTCATCCTTCTCTGTGAGTACTCTGTGATAACTTCTTTTGATAACTATTTTGATGATGTATTAATTTTTTCGTCTCTTTTCTTACGAACGTTCAAAACTTGATCGTGTTTAGTTTAATCGTTCAAAATGTTAATGAATAATTTGTTTTTTTCTTAATACTTTTTCGCTAAGATTTTCAGTCATCAGTATTTGATATAAATGTATAAAAACGATCAATCAAAATGGTATTTGCCTTTTAAGCGTACCGTCTACAAATCATTTTTTCCTACATTGTGCAAATAATTCAAACGAAATTTTTAGATCTTAGAAGATCATAATCTTAAAATGCTATTATAGAAGTTGCCATTATCAATTCGAACAATACGTAGAGAGATATAAATTGCATTTACATTAAATGTACGCATCCTAAGACGATTGTTTAGACTATTCACAGATCTTCTGAAGTCCTGTTCATAACAGTAGCCAGGGTTGGAAACAATACAAATTTAAATACGTCATATGGCGAAAGTATGTGGTGAATGGCACTTTGAAGACCGATTCTTAAAGTCTCATGAGCACAAACTCTGTGAACCAGACGTATTGCTATGTTAATGAGGTAATTTTTCAGAACGAGGTATATCTGTACGTAATGTGTTGATATGTTGCCGCACCCTACTTGACAGACTTGACCCAAAACAAGCGGAAAAAGCTATTTTTAAGTGGGATCGCCTTTGAAAAAAGGAACTTAAAGTGGAAAAGTAGGAACGCCATCTCCTCCCATAACTCAAAAAAATTGTTTAAAAAAGATTATTTGTAATATGTGATACATTTTTTACAAAAGGATATAGATAAATAGAAACATAAATAAAAACAAAATTTAACTATTCTTGAGTCTCACTTCAATACTTATATCTATTAGATAACTTTATGCTCGTCTGTGGGAGGTCCTACTTCGTAATCCAGATGAACAAATGCTCTTTCCACCTCGGATAAATGTTCTAATTTTTTCTGTAAACTAGCACCTAGAAGAAAAGAAGATTACATACGACAAGTTTAAATGAAAATGATCTATATTTTGTACCTATGGTATGTGCTTCTTTCAATGTCATTATTTCTGGAAGTATTATATCTACTTCTACCAAAAACGACGTACCAAAATGAAATGCTCGCACAGTATCAATTTTTGTTATCAGTGGTGAATGTTGTAATGTCAACCATGTTACTTGTTGTAAAAACTCTGGTTTAGCCGTATAACCACTCAAATGTTTGATTTGTTCTGTTGGGAAAGAGAAATCAAGCTACAGTAAGTGTCATCAAACACCTACGTGATCTACTCACTTCGTAATTGTTGTATCCAACAAAAAATAATGTAAAGACTGATGAGAATAGCACCAATCGGATCAACAACCACAACTTCTTGCTTCTTAATTGTACCATCGACGGCTTTTGCTGCTACAATACCAAATACGAGGGCAACAATGTTTGAAACTACATCATTTCGATGATCTTGAGCAACCGCATTCATTGTCGGATTGGCAATTTGATAACAGAGAAATGATAAAAGGGCTTTCAAAACTAAAAAAGAATCAGAAATACGTTTGTCATGAATATGTATGAGTTCAAAGTGGTTAACTATGTCCCTCATTTTCTCAGTCTCCAAAGACCCCTACTGACGATACCTACCGACTGTCGCTGACATAACTGTAAGTGGTGCAGGTCCCATTTTGATATCTGGTAATCCCGTTGTATTCTTTGTGAAATGATTTATATCACTAATTAGACTTTCAACAGACTCGTAGATGACCTGTACAGATGCAGACACCATTACCACACACAATATGACAATAATAACCGGTTCTAAGCGAGTACGTCCTATAATAGATAAAATAATGGACTTTTGAACTTTACTTTATTTTCGAGACTCATTTGATGTTTACCTCCAGGATACCTATAAATATCACGTTTTTTAATTGCACGAACGGCCCAGAAAAGCATAACAGCAGAAGCTGAATCTACAGCACTGTCGACAACGCTGGATATAATCGATAATGATCTTGAAAATACTGCAGCGACGATTTTTGCCAAAAACAATGACTGTAATGAGAGGCGACATAGAAAACTTTGGGTAGGTCATTTATAGAGATGTGGATGCTCACAATGTTGCAAACTAACGTTGCATAAATTAATAAATCTGTTCGTCGTTTCTCACGCGCAAGCTTAGCATTTTGAACTTCTCCGTTCAAATTTTCGTGAATATTTTTAAATGAATCGATTATTTCGTCTTGTTTTTCATAAAAATTCCTGTGAAAATAAAATTTATTTAATGCAAAACCAAAAGTATAGCAAGCACATTAAAAAGTGGAATAAGTCATAATATATCTCTCGAGACATTGCTACTACAATACCTTTTGAGCTGATTAAGAAGAACCGAAGAGGATCCTTAACGAGTTTGTTTAACACTGATGTCAAATTGCTCTTCCTTTTATCCCTTCTTACCCATCTTTTCCTTCATTAGATGAAACGTATAGAGATCGTGCAATATTACTAAAAACTGATATAGAACTGTTAGAAATGACATAAAATTTTGATCGAACTCGCACGAAGACTTTGTAATTAGTATAATAAAGAGACAAAAAAGTTCCTTAATCATTGAGAACACCTTAATCAAGGGCATATATAGGCATGCACCCGTTATAACCGACAAATTTCAACTTTTTTCTGCAATCGATTAGATGAAAAGTACGCATGTTCAAGTTTTTCTAACAGTTGGATTTTGTAGAACAAACATTTTTCTACAACATGAGCTATGGAGTATTCTTTTTCTTGAATCTAGTACTTATAAAAATTTGGATTATATTGGTTACTAAATCTGGATAAGAGCTCAGACGAAATTCTTTGGGGGGAAAAAGAGTTTGTTAAAGAGAATTTTCTTCAAAAGCAGGAGGGGCGTATACCCCTTACCCTCCTTTGGTCACGGCTAGAGATGGTCTCGGTGCCTATCTCTAGTCACGACACCGGTTATCTCATGAAATATGGTGAACTATGTTGTCAAAGCAACAAATTATTTCTCACATTTCATGCAGTTTCACTTAGTGGCGTAAATTTCATGCTGTTTCAAATGTGAGTTATTGTTTTACTGTCAGTTTTTAATTTGATGAAAAAAGAATTTCTCTTCTCACGCTACAGATTTCACAACTGATGAAGGTGAATTCTAGTATAACATCTTATTATCAATACATCAAAAGTCTACTTTCGCTTTTTATCATGTTTTTCTAATGGCATAATCTTTTGCTTCGTACACTGCTAGAAATCTGTGTTCTTCCGTTCTTTGGAGAACATGGTGAAGAACACGAATATGTTCTTTGAAAACTGAAGAACAGAACATATGTTCTTCAGCCTATTTTCACGTTTTTGTTCTTCAGT